TTTTTTTCCTCGCTACCTGGCCTGACCTGTCTCCCCAATGTGATGTTTGTATTGTATGTACGGTCGGCAAGGTCTGTCATCTTGGTTGTAGGCAAAAGGCCTGCAACTGACAAATAAAGGCTATCTCATTTCATCTCATCCCCTGAGCTCTCAACACAGACTGCATCGTCAGAATAAAAGTTGATAAAATAAATTAAAAATTTTGTATTGTTCGATACATATGCGTACCAAACCGAAAGAACTGTGTCGAACGGTTCAATATCGATACGAGTATCGTTGCACCCCTAATGTTGTTGTATTGACTCTATTCACAAAATATGATTTAACTGCATGATGTTAAATATGTATAATTTAGAATGAACTATGGGCCGACCAGAGGCTTTGAAGTGGATGTTGGTACCAAAACAACTCATCGTGTCATGTATCCAGAGACTGCTAGCTTATTGGACCACACCACTCACCTTGTGTTTTTTCCATTCAAGATGGAGGATTTTTTGTGGCTCCTTGAGAACGTTGGGTAGTTCAAACATTGCTGTTACCTTTTTATGTTTTTGTATTTAGAATATATATTTAGTACACTTGAATATTTAGGGTTGTGAAAAGCTTAACAAATTCATTATTGTGTGCATTTATCATTTCAATCGGAATCTAGCGTTAAATGATTCTAATCACATAATTGCTAATTAATTCCTTTTCTAGCATATATGCCATTAACGTAAAAGCATATTTCCAACAGAGAAAATGGTGATATAAACAAACAGAGCCTAGCCAACAAGAATTTGGTGAGTACATTATTCTATATTTTAACAAAAATGACAAACTGTATATTCATATATCAAATATAATTTAGTTAAAAGATTATATTGTGCATTATTCGCAGAATAAATGACCATGTTTAATTACCAGGTGATGATCCTCAATCCGGCTTTCATGAAACACGTTCATCAAGTTTGGTTACTAAAGAAGGGTGCTTATCCATCTACTGGCTTCATGGCTTTGGCTTTGAGCTTGATGATTTGTGATGAGGTAGGATAACATTCCAAAAGTCAAAGAAATACCAGTGAAGCAATAAGGACTGCTGTGCAATAAGTACATATGCCATAACTGCCAACTATGCTAAAAAAAAA